GCACAACAGAGATAAGAATCTGGGACAGAGAGGTTTTACAGGGAGTTTGCCAGTGGGCTGCTGAAAAGGAGCAAAGAGGTACAATCTTTTTAATTACCCCTGCAGCCTTCATGTAAATCTTGAGAAGGGGTGATTCTTCCACATTTGTTATCTTTAACATGAAGAACAGCACTGCCTCCTGGCATGGAGGAAGGGGCATCTTTGACCATCATCTGATTATGGGAGAGCAGGAGCTCCCACAATTCCACTCACATTGGGAAAACTTTTCATTGCTGTTTTTTGTTTAGTTTTACTTTAGATATTGCCCTGACCTCACAGGCTTTGCAGGAGGACACCTCCCCTCCTCTCTTCCTGCTCTTTATCCCAGCAGCAGCTCCTGGTTGTAGGTGCAGGCATATAAGGAGTGAGGCAGTGCCTGGCCATGAATCACTGCCTGAGCATCCTGTCTCCTGAGGAAAAGGGGATGGAAAGCACTGGCAGAAGTTTAGCTGACCTGCTGGGAACAGTTCACTCTGTTTAACAGGAAAAATGGCCTCAGACCTCAGTAAGGCATGGATTTGATTTGTAATGAGGAATCTAATGATGCCTCTCCCAGAGGATCTAAGATAGTAAAGAGGTGGGGGAGAAGGTAAGAGATACTTAAATAGGTTAGAAATTATTTTTTAAATCCCTGTTCAGCAGAAACTAGCTAAAGCAGAGTATGATTTGCTAGCTAGACATTATTGCTTAACAAGACACATGTGCACATTACTGCCATTAAGCAATCAATAAACCTGGGTGCAGGGCTACACACAATTTATTGCTCCTCCCCTTGCTTTGCTCTGACTCAGCACTGAGTACAATCGGGCAGGTATTATCCAGGCAACAGAGAATTTCTTGCGATAAATAGTGGTGTAGCCAAAGAAAAAAAAAAACAACAAAACAAAACCAACTCCACAAGCAAATCAGGCATGTTTTTCTCTATCTGACTTAGAAGCTATTTTTTTTCTCTTTAACTAGAACCTCAGACTGCTGCTTCTGTGCAGTCCAACTCTTCACACTATGCACTGCCTTCAAGAACCCGTCTAGCAGACGATTCCTCTTTCAGCGTGTTCACACCTGCACAATTACCATAAGAGGAAGAAATTTCCTCTATTCTACAGCAAACAATGGAAAGGATTGCATTTCTCTCTCTGCTCAAAAAACAGAGCACAGTTGCTTTCAGAGCAGGTTATGAAACTCTCCACGTCAGTTCAGAAAAAGGCTGTGTCACACAAAGGTGGCTGTGTCACACAAAGGTGACTGTGTGCTGTTGTTCCCCACAGGCACTTAATGGAGCTGTGACAGCCCAGTTCTAGAGATCCCATTTTCTTCCACAAACAGATTCTAAGCCGTTCTAAGCATGTTTTCCACATGTCTTAATGTCTTAATTGAAGATAATAAGAAAACTCCCCTCTTGGTATGGTACCAAATGCAGGTCCCCAGTGGGACCCTTACCCTTCGCTGAAACATCCAAGCAGGGAGAGCTCAGCCTCCTCTCCAATTTCACTGAACTAATTACTGCCTGAAATTAGGCACATGCTTAAATGCTTTGTCAGGCCCAGGCTCTTGGACTAAGTGCAGATTCAGTATCTCCCAGCACATCACTCGGCAGCGAGCTCCTTCCCACTCCGTCCCCACCCATCCGAGTCTTTGGGGAACATTGCCATGGATTTCCACGGGACACAAGAGTCCATATTGGAAGAACCCTGTTAAGGTTGCTAGGCGTAAATATTGACTTAACGGCTCTTCCGCCTTTTTTCTTTTTTAAGAACAGATTTGTTGGCCATGGCTGGAAAAATAGAATTATGGAGTATGCATGATTCACTCTGGCACTCACACAAACATGCAGATCAGTTGGCTGGCAGCTCGGCTCCTCTGTTCGCAGAGCATCGCTCCTAAAATGTGTCATTTTGTTTTGGCAGCAAGAGCGTCCAACCCCACAGACAGAGAGATAAAATCTCCTACCTTCCATGTACTTCACATGGGAGTCACTGACCTCACGCTGCACAGAATTTTGGATTAATACTCCCAACGGCATTTTAGTCCAGACACACTGAAGGACTGGCAGAAGTTTTGGTTTGACACTAAGAGCCCAGCCCAGAAACCTCCCCTCTCATACCCACTGTCCTGGATCTGCTCACACAAGAGAGGACAGGAGAGCAACTGCAGGTAAAACTGTTTATTCAAAAGTCTTTTCAATAAGGGCTGTTTCACAGCCAATAAATATTGAAGCAGACAATAACTCTTGTGACAGAAGGAAACTAGCCGAGGGGACCCAAAGCTTTTAGTCACTGGATTCATGTTTTCATCACCGGTACTCCATGCTCAGACTTTTAATTCTGACTGCAAAAAATGCTCCTTGAAACATTGCTTCAACAAGCAGCATCATTCAAGCTCTCTCCCATATTGATTCTGTCAGATCTGAATGATTTGGCAAGACTGACAGGGGGATGAACCTTTACCAGAGATGCCTGAGGGTACAAAATGTATGGGACACTGTGGGCATTGATCCTGGATATGCCAGTACAATCTCTGACTGTCCCTAAAATCCTGCTCACCACACACAGGGGCATGAGCAGCTCACCTGAGAGCTGGCAGACACTGCAGGGAGTATATTTGAGATTTTCTACCAGACCTCAATTTGATACACAACTGGGGGAACTCAAGAAGAGTTGTTGCATTACACAACACTTGGCAGAGGTCTGCCAGAAAGCACAGAGCTTGTCAAGAGGAAAACAGAACTCGAATGATTGACCATAGGAGGAGAGAGTCCAGTGGAAGGCAAGAGATCCTTCTCTGTAGGATCTCAAGGACTTTGCATGCATTTTAGCCAGCCAGGGTATCTTTGGGACTTTTATCCCATCAGAGTTTAAGCACCCTTAAAAGACATAATGCAGAACCAGACAGGGAGACTAGGATCAACACATGTACGTATTTCTACTTGCTTTGCATGTAACCTCTGTGTCTCTACACCTTCCCCTTGGGGAACAGGGACCAGCTGCTCCTGCCAGGCATCCTCTGTGCACATCCTCCAGATGAGGTGGTTCAGTGCATGGTACATTTAAGGCTGTGGCACCTCACAACTCTGCAGGGAAGCCCAGGGCTCTGGGCTCCCACCCATTCATTAGACAACACAAGAATGAGCCATTCCTACTCAGTGTTAAGCTACAAGAAACAAAAGCAAGGGCACTTAGATGGAGCTTAGCAACAGCTGCTCAGGATCCATTCAACCACTCTCAAATCTATTTTTACTGACAGCTTTTGAAGCAGAGAATTCATTGAACAGAGAAACAGGTTGATATCCCTTCTCCTCAAATGTAGGCAGAATTTAGTTTGTTATTTTCTAATTGTTTCCTTGGTGGCATATACAAATTCAATACAGCATCTGCAAGCAAGGATGTCTATTTTCAGAATAAAGACAATGACAGGCAAAGTTTGTATTAGCAACAGCTAAGTAGAAGACACTAGGAGATAAAAAAGGACATTCTCTTTTAAGGTCCTAACGTGCATAGGACAACAGATTGAGTAGATCTAATTACATGAAATTAAGGAATTTTCTGCCCACTCACTCTCCTGCACTTGCAGCTGGAATAGCACAGCCTGGGTGCTGCCTCCTGTTTTCTCAGGAAAATGTTTGCAGGGAACAGAAGCATTTCACAATGTTTCACAAAGCAAGAAATAAGCTAAATTATTTCTCTGCTCTACAAGCTTAGGATCAAGGCTGATGCAAGTCAGTTCTTACTACACGTGGATATTGCAGTTCTTACAACCCACACAAGTACCAGGGGACAAACCCATCAACACAAGGACTTTCAAGCTGTGGTTATTGGCCATTATTGCCTGGTTACAGAGATGGCAACGGTTGAGTTTTATGACAGGTTCTCAATAGCACTACACTGACAACATGCTGCATTTGTCACCGGATTTACATTGTACTGACCCAAGGTGGACTCAGCAATAGGAAGGCACTGCTACAAATAGCTGTAGCTGTTTGGAGCCCCATTTCTGTCTCTCCACTGAAAAGGATCCCCTCTGCCTACTGAGATGTCTGAATTTGCCCTTGAACCAGCTCCTTTGACTTAGGATGTCAAAGCTCTTCACCCAGTTGGTTTTTGGGATGTGTTTTGTCACGTGGTGCCCAGATAATCAGCTATCAGCTCTGGCATGACCAAGCACTGGGGCAAAAAGTCCCACATGGGACAGAAGTGCAGCAGGAATAAGAGTGTCCCAGTCCAATGCAGAGTAGTTCTGTATAACTGTACTACCTTTATCTCAATTAGAAAAGAGGGTACTTTTAGAAGTTTAAAACACACTATGTGAGCCAATCCTAAAGGAACCAAGCTCTTTCTATTTCCCAGAATGAAAGTCAAGGGTGATAAGTTCAGATTCAAATGTCTCAAGTCGGGTGAGATGAATCCCACCTTCAGGGCATAAGATGAGGAAGAGGTAAGGATCAAGTCTCTAATAACTACAATGAATTCATAGCAATTGTGAAATTCCTTTTTCTTATCCATGTATTCCAGACAAAGTAAGGACAAAAAAAATCCCCCTTCCAGAAGTACAGAGGTACCACTCATCTACATGGCACAGGTTAACACTGTTTCCTATGACAATCCATAGTATGTCATCGTTTTAGAGCAATTAGTAAACAGACTGTTTTAAGCATTTAAAAATTATAACCCTGCTTCTGCTCTCCTCAAAGCACAACTGCTGACATTCTTAGTGGATAGTCTTTTTAAGGCATCATAGGCTTACTCTAGCCTAAATCCTCTTCTTTCCCATTTTGCAGTTATCTGGCTGCATTAATATGAAAGAAAAGAAGAGCATTTCTCAAAACATTTTCAGCACCATTTAAATTCGCATGTTCTTCTCTGCCTGTGATGAGCTGAACAAGTTTTCAGTCACAATTGTCAATCACTGTTTCTCAAATGCAAGGGTCTAACTGAAGCAAAGAGGAAGAAATGAAGGTCTGTACTCACTTTCTCAGCACTGCAATTTCATTCTCTATGCTGCTTTCCTTTCCTTTCAGTGCCTTCTTGGGAATACATTTGACTGCGAAGAGTTTCCCACTCGCTCTCTCTTCAGCCAAAACAACCTCGGAGAATGCACCCCTGAAAGAAGAGAAGAAAAACCCTGTTTTAAAGTGGTGCTTTTCTTTGAAACCTGTTAGCTGAAACACAGCTATTGATTATAGTTCTTTTGGTGTCCTTTGGAAGCTGCTCTTGTAAAACACAGAAATGATATTACAAACATCTTTCTTTGCCTTTACAAACATATGGAGACATTCACACTCACACAAAACATTGAAGGCTTACCAAATACAATTTTAATAAAGAACCATAGTCCAGCAGAGACATGAGCAAAGCTTGAAAATGAGAAAGTACCATTTCTGCACACAGGGGCATGGACCATAGTCCAGCTGCTGATTTGGTGGATGATGTACTTCTCCCCTTCCTGAGATTTTTGAAGGTTTCATTCACAAAGCAGCACAAAGTCCCCAGGACTAAGTGACACACCAGTGCCAGGAGTGCTCCTGGTTCCTCAATCACCACAAGAGGTCAGGGCCCCCACTCTGGTCCTCGCTGGGCTGCCCAGAGCTTCTCATAACCATTGGATCAACCCTGACTCAGACTGCATCAGAATTTCTCTATGCATACAGAGTTACTCCACAACACAAACTGATGTGTGTAACCACTAAAGCCAAAGAATTGGATTAAATCACAAGTGTAAACATTGGTCTTACTAGCAGACTCCTTATGGTTACCCCAGAGAGGGTTACAAAAATAAAGAAACATCATCACAGCAGCTGGTCACTAATTGCCAAGAATGGGCAGTGCCTCTCCTTCATTAGGTTATTTCATAACAGTGTATTATTTCTTGCACTGTCTGTGCTTCCTCCCAAGCCTCTGGACCTGACTGAGAAGAGGCCAGGAAAACTCTACAGTCAGTGCTATACATACATTTTTTTGGTTCCCAGCTTTTTTGAGCACTTGAACATCATTCAGACTCTGCCACTCTGGACAGACTTTGCAGTGGTACATTAGGACCATCCTTATATTCTGGAACTTGTTACTGGTTTAGCAGCAAGGTACTGGGCAAGAGAGAGCATTGACCTGATGAGGAACAGCAAATCATTGTTCCTACTCACCAAAACCTCCTCCCGAAGCACCCACATCCAAGGACTTGTCTAACCCAATGACAACTGAAGGATCAGGTTAATCAACCTGGTCTTGTAGAAGGTGTCGCCTGCCCATGGCAGGGGGTTGGAACTGTATGATCCCTAAAGTTCCTGCCAGCCCAAACCATTCTTTGATTCTGTGATCCACCAGCTGAAGGGTTTTGTTTGACTTGTAAGAAATAAAAATAGCCTTTCCTTTATTATTTCCCCTCATCAGCAGATTATTCTGCTCTGCTACACAGCTCACTCTGATAAATGCTCAGGAGGGTGCTGAGCAAACCCAACCATACTCTAACTCCCTCTTAAAAGGTTAATGTTTGGTCATAGCTTCATCTGGCTACCACCAACTTTCTCTGGCTTTCATTCCCCACAACTGCTGCTGATCTTGATGTTTTATGGATAAACAAAAGAATTTCCTTTCCTGGACAGGATCCTCCTTTTTAAGTCATGCACTTGGATGACACAACCAGGCTGCTGTGACCTCACCAACAGCTCCTGAGTTGCAAAACAGCTACATGAATCATTAAGGGGATAAGCAAAAGGAAGAGGGTGCTGCTCTGGAAACAAAGTACCTGTTTACCCAGAAATGCTTTTGTAGCCAGCAGATAGAGAAATAGTGATATGAAGCTGATGAAAAAAGACGTTTGAATGCTGTTATACAGCAGATGTTTGACAGCTTGTCCACGTGGGGCAGTGATCCTCTGAACCAAGAAATGTTTTGCCTCATTTTTACTAAAGTACAGACTATGGCTAAGTTTATGCCCCTTGGAGTAGCAGAATGATTCCCTCTTTCCTGCTTTGTGTGTAATCCACCCTAGCATGTCAGAGCATCGCAGGCTCCAATTTAGGGTCCACACAACTGATCCAAAGGGTTTGCACAAATGAGCCACCCAGAGTGGTTTTAATTGTATTCTTTGTTTTCCTGTTATCAACAGCCCTAGCCCTTCGATTTACCAAATAAGGTTTTCATCCTGATCCTCAGGCTTGGGACAGCCAGACCAGAACTGCAATAAAATCCTTTCTGCTGGAGAGCCCAAAGACCTCTCAGTGCTCACCAGCTTTGGTTGCAGACCAGAGTGCTCAGAAGCTCACAGGGCTGCTCCCAGCTGTATTTCATGAACCCTTTAAGTCCCATCTGCTAAAGCTTTCAGCACTGCACTTTGCTCCAGCTGTGTCTTGAGCATGCTCCTTGCCTTCTGTTAAATGGTGTTAGAAGCTGCAATATTCACAACACTGATGGCACAGCTCTCCCAGTGTTTACAATATTATAAAAATATAGGGAGCTCCCATTCCAATCTGTATTTCATTGCTGATCTCAGACAATAAAATAGTGGAAATCCCTTTATTTCCCCTCTACACAATATAGTTAACTTTGTGAAGCACCTCTTTTTCAGCTGGCTCCATCATTTCACTGGATTTCTTCCTCCACTTATCAGGACAGACATGGTTTCCCTGGTTGGAAAGAGCCTCTGTGAATTTAAATGAAATTTTTTTGTGGAGCTCTGCAATACTCATGAAAACCAATTCCCTATCTCCTTAACAACCTTTCTCATTATAGCATGAAATAACCTGAAGCTCAGCGAAAGTGTTTGGTTCCATGTCAACCCCAGGCACGGACAGGGTGCTTCTTTACATTGATTTTTATATGAGGCCACGGCACAAAATTGCTAATGCTGGGAAGGGCTCCTGGGTAACAGGAGGGGGAGAGCTGGGATGGATCTGCTGGGAAGGCAGGAGGGAGATGTGAGGAGGCAGAAGTGAGGCAGTCTGCACCATCCTGTGCACTATATACACCCCTGTGCTCTCAGAGCAAGGGAGGGGAGCAAAGCAACAAGCCAATGCACAAAAGAAAGAGAAGTGAAGTTCTGGAAGGAAAGAGAAAGAAGGGAACAGATGCAGAGAGGGGTCAGAGTGTTAAACAGAGACTCAGCAATATAGGGCAAGAAGAAAGAAAGTGTGGGAGGGAGCACCAGCAAAGGAGAGGCAGCAAAGATACTCTTGGAGTCTGCTGGAGTCAGGGAAGAGTCAAAAATAATACTGAATAGATGGGCAAGCAATTATCATAATTTCAAACGTGCAGTTGAATTCATCCACCCTTAATGACACAGTCCAGCCTCCACTAAACCCCTCTCAGCTCAGGCATGAATAGGTAAATATCAGAGAGAAAGTCAGAAAGACAAGGCTGCTCATTTTCTTTCTAGGAGCAATATATCCTACAGCAAATCCCCACCTCCTCAAAAAAGTTCCCCAGAACTACCAGCTCAGCAGGCTTGCTAAAGATTTTTTTCTCCCCAAAAGGAATTAATGTTGCCTTTAAAATCATCATATTAATGAATAAAGTAATTTATCTCTAAGAATGAATTACAAATCTTTATTGAGGTTTAAAATGTAATTGTGTACAAAGATGTAGAAAGAACTTTGGGGTAGGAAAATATTGCATTTTACACCATCAACATGACAGGATTTTTATGAAAAGGCCATGGGTTCCATTAAATATTATCAAGCAGTGTTGTATGATAAAAAGGAAAAAAGCAAATATCACACTGTGATAGAGATTTTTTTTTTTTTAATTAGAAAAAGAGGTTAACTAGTTAAAAATTATGATTATAAATGTGTTTGCAATGGTTGGGATGCACCATTCCCTTCAGCTGGGAAGGTGAACAACATGCCCAGGGACAAAGTCTGCACCTCTCTGAAGAGGAGCTCCAAAATCCTTCAGGAATTTTCCCTGTCCTGCCTGCAGATGATAGCAAACAACTAAAAACATGTCGTGGCTTTGAGGAAGTAGGACAGTGGTGGAAATGGGTAAGCAAGAAACTTCTGCAAAATGAAACCACTTTTAGCTGCCAAAATCCTTGTGCAGCAACAACCTATTTTTGAAAGTTTTGACCATGTAATCGTTTACCCTGGAGGAACTGCTCTTTTCAAACTTCTAATTAAGGCATGGAATAATTTTATGATTTAGATAATTTCCATATGAATTAGGAACGAAGTAAGAAAAAAAAAGAGGTTAAAGAACTTGATGAGTGACATTGAGATAATGGCAGATTCTAGAGGGTGCTTGAGATATTTTGACTCCTCACCCCTTTGCAAACACCTGGACTATGCAGTATCCTATGAGATGCCAATCTTTTAGAGTTTTGTTTAATTTAAATTATTTCTCATGCATTATTTTTCTTTTCTACAGATTTAAAGATTAGAATTTCGAGATTAACAGTGAAATATGAACATCATTCATACCCAAACAGATTGGATTTTCTATAAGAAAGCAGCAGTTACAGATCAAAGTAAAATAAAGAACAAGTAAGTTTTTCCTTCTTCTGTTGGAACTATAATTTAATATGAACATTTAATTTTTGAAATACAATGAACAGGATATACTGTGACAGCAAATCCGTTCTCATCCAACAAAAAAATTGCTGTGACAAAAATACTGACAAAATGAAGACAAAGCTGATGGAGGGATAAAACTTCATTTTTTCCATTCAACCTCCATGTTGAGCAGCTTTCCACTGCATTAGCAGGTGCTCTGTGACACTAAGTCAACAGACATAGCCAGGAAACAGATTTCACATCTTCAGGCTCCATATAGCTGATGTTCTTAATTATGATACAATTGGCTTCCCCTGTGTACTTTGCCCTGGCCAAACCGGGGGAAAATAAAAACTGATCACTCAACATCTGAAAAATACACCATGTCCATCCACCCTGAGACAGGAGACTGACTGAACCAAAGGGACACCAACCAAACTAAAGGTCATTTTCATAGTGTGGCATTTGCTACCGCACTCAATTTCTGACCCTTGACTCTCCAAAGAAAGGTGACTTTGGACAGTACCACAAACAGAGGGAAAAAAGTCTTTGTTAGCATTTTCACAGCTTCTTCCAAGGGCCTCAAGGAGTTAATTGTGGGGTGAGCCCAGGCTCTGAATG